TACCAGCTCAGCCGCGATGAAATCCCTGTCTCATATTTCGCCTCAAACGAGGATAGAAATCCAACCCAGCGAAAATGGGCTCAGCCACTGGGCTCTAGCGCACACATCAGGTCACAGTTTCGTATATCGAATTACACCAGGTCCCGTCGCAGACAAGAATTCTCTATCTTCTCGCATTGTCACACATGTTCAAAGTTAGTACTAATAACTGATTTAAGTAAGTTGGGCACTAAAATACATCCCAAACACTACTAAATGTCAAAAGATTTCTCTCGAACGAGTTTCTTATTGCCTTACAAAAACTATATTTGCTACCAACTATAGTATCACGAGTTGACACAAAAACACACCAAATCCCACGCATCCAACGCCCAGCAGCCGTTCCATTCTAGCACCATCACCAGACTTTAATCACGCTGGTCTTCCAGTTAACGCGACAGAGCACGAGCGGCACGCCTCCCTCCGAGCCAGCACGCAATTCCTGATTGTGGCCGACGCGCATCGTCGTCGTTTTTTGCATCAGCACAGCTCAGAGTAGTCGGTCCCGACGACAGCGGCAGAGACATGTCGGGACCTCGGACGGAGCGGCGTCGGGGACGTCGCCAGCAGTGATGACGATAACCCTTCCGGGGTACGCCATTAGCGAATTGGACGGGCACACTGACCCGGCGGCGGCGCGCGGGCTCCAGTTGGCCCCGGCTCAGCGGAGCTAAGCTTAGCTCACCACCGACAGAGCTGAGGGAGCTGACCGGGCCCCCGGCGCCGGCCCAACCAGACAGAGACAGAACGAGCACATAACGGGGATAGTCCACGACCGACCGAGTCAGATGGGCCGGGTCACTGCCGATTTTTCGGCGATGTCGCTTGAGACATTGATCCGAGGGCGTCGCCGGCGGCTCCTGGCCCCCGGCGCGTCGCGACCATCGCTGACGGCGACGGGACCGACAACGATGACGCTGTCGTCAGTACATCGTCCATCGCGACGCATCGTCCATCGCGACGGAGACGACGATCAGCGATGCTGGTAACGACACAACTGACGCCGGCGACACTCATGAATCTGGCGATGACACATCTGACAACACCGACAGCAACGCTAGCTATGAACAGAGACTCGAGTTCGACAGTCGACGCCGAAGGGCTCCCGACCGAGACTGCTTCTCGCGAACAGAGCTGGTCGTCCGATTGACAAGAGGTCCCGTTGGGCGCCGCCAACCGTCGGCTGGGGCCAGTTCCATCAATCTGAGACGAGGCGGACACCCGAGGGACGGAACAGCAGCGGCTGGCGAGTCGGGTGACCGCGAGGCGCCCATTAGGGTCGTCCGAGAGTAACACGATATGGTAATCCGTACCGAAGGCCCAAGGCATTACGGTCTGTGATTCGGCAGCACAGATATGGACTTTGGAAACTAATGCGAGCATCCGATATTGAGATTAATCGGGGGATAGAGCGATTGATACTGATGTCAAACTACTGCGTCTCTTGGTTTGAAAAGCCGGCAATTGTAGAGGCAAAGGCCAAAGCCTGTTTTATCTAGATGAATATGTTCCTGTAACTTAGACGAATCAGCACACATCTTGCTATAAAAGCAAAATTGCAATGGAACAGCATACCTCCCATTTCTACAAAGATTTTAACAAACTATCCCGATTTCGGTCTACTTAGACCGTTGAGTTCGTACAACTTCTTCAAATTCCAGACCACACCAGACCGAGCGACCACGTCCTGCGGACTCATTTACTGCACAAAGAAACGGCCTCGGCCGATCGGGCCGTGTAGCTTCAAAGGAAGCCCGAGACCAATGATCCGGCAAATGTGTCTTGAAAAGACCGATGCATCGATTGGGTAGTCGGGCGAGTTCAGATGTCAGTGGACTTTGGATGGATGCCGACTGGCAATGCGTGTTTGGTGATTGCAGCAGCCAGGCGTCTCCGGATGCGACGGCGTTCTTTACAGAGACGCAGCGATGGGCGATAAGTTTTCAGAGACGCTCAATCATGCAGAAGGAACTGTTGGATTAGAATCCAGAAGGTCATCCTGGATACCGCCGGCATGGAGCAATGACGCCGCGATCAAAGCTCTGTGGAATGTGAAGCTCTGAGCTCGCGTCAAATATGATTGTTGACCTATCAGATTGGTCAATGGACGACATTTGAAGTGATTTAAACCGATTCAGCGGAGCACGAGTCTACCCACACAGGCTGCCAATTCAGTCACGCAATGCACACCTTATCAAACACACACTAACGACAAAGTCTTTCAGGTCTGTCGGCCATTAACCCTATCGCCAGGTCTCCGCCGTGGGCAAATGGACAGAGGACAATGGCCTGGGGCCATTCGGCGTCGGCGCCGACCCGCGGCAGCAGCAGGACGACGCAGTGGGCGGGACTGACCATGTCGTTACTGCCCAGCTGCCCAGACAATGTCCGAGCTCGTACATCTTCATCGCCGCCAACTGGGGTGTGTGCGCCGCTCTCCCGACGGCCCGGCCGTGGGCGCGGGGGGGGGGGAGCGCTGGGACACCCACCCACCGCGCTCTGGGCGGTGAGAGTATGAATTTAAAGCAGCGTCGGTCAGATACGTTCCCGGGAAACTCATCTGCAGTGGACCACGGTTGAGGGTGGCAGCGCTACAAGGCTGCAGGCGGAAAATGCGATCGCGCCCGCCGCTTGGGTGACATTGGCCACGGTGACGACATTTCAGCAGGCTGTCAATGCACTGGCTGATCTGGGGTCATTCAAGAAGCTCAACTGGTCCTCGGAGCACTCCTTTGATGGGCTGTTTAAACATATATTGCACGATGAAGAATATATGTAATATAAATGATCATAGGCTTCTAAGCGATGGAACTTAACATATGTGGCGATGACAAGTCTGTATGATTGGTGTGTTTAATGAGTAACTCAGCAGATGAGTTTTCAGAGATGTTCGGTGCTGCACAGGTGCTATGGCAATGATAAGCTGGGAAAACCTATGCATGTTTTGTATTATTTTCTAACAAATCCATGTATTTCATTGTCATCTTCGTTAAGCTAAATGGGAAATAGATAGCTTGCTAAGTTCCAAAATATGTAGTTTTTTTCTGTAACATGATGCAAGTTCTATCAAACGGCTGACACCTTCGACGACCAACAGTACCTGTTACATTTCATGAGCCTCACAACAGCAGCCAATTTCCCCGATGCATGCCACTCAATAAACACCAAAGCGCAGTGGCATCATCAACGTCACAATAAACCACCAAGAACCTGTTGAAAATGCACCTCAAGCCCCCATCGCATGCATGGCATGCAAGAAGTCCCGGCACTTGACGAAGTGGGCGCATTTCCGTAGCATATAGCGCATTATGTTGGCCCGTCGACCTGGGAAATGGCTGGGTTATCGTCTGCAGGCCGACCTCTGGTCGCGCCGCTGTGCCGTCTGATCAGAACTCCTGAGCCCGTGAGCTGTCAGACCGATGAGTTATGGCCTCCCGGCGACCCGTTCACGGCAGGTGAACGGACCAATAACAGTCGCCACGGCCCCTTAACTCTCGTAACAGAGCGATGAGGGAAATTTGAACTGCCATCAAACGGATATTGAGGTATTGTATATTGAAACGTTCCAATTACCGAGTTTCTGGCTGTTTGAGGTAGCCCCGACCGGTGTCTTTTGTTAGGATACTTTCACGAATACAGGAACGATTATTGACAGCAATGATGGAACGGGTTTTTATAAACGCTTGACTACGCCGCAAAAAAGCTTGCGTGTGCATCATAGTGCTTTTTAGGATAATCGAAAACTGAACCAAAGATGGCATAATCATAATCATTAGCGCTGTTCAAAATCTTGTTGCCCGTTTCGTCTCTCGAATACACTTCATATGGTTCAAAATTTCATTATCAGTAAAAAGCTCGCATTTTCGGTCAGGGCTGCGCTGTTCCTAAAACCACCCAAGCTCTACAAACCTTCCTTAGACAATAAACCACCACCAACCGCTCTCTCAGTTGGTTATGGGGTAACTCCTTCCCACGCGAAAATCTCCGCTGAAAATAGAAAGTGTAACTTCCAATTCCTAGTCGACGCGCCGGTCCTCAGAAAAACATCGCCGTGGGGACGCTCGGAGCCCCCGCCCCACCCCGGCCCCTCCCATTCCAAGTCGGGTGAGCTCGCGTGCTGCGCCGACGCTTAATTGAAACTCGGTCCGCTCTTCTTGTCTCGTTCGGATCCCATTCTCTTTATCACGCATGCTCCCCGAGGCTATGCACGAAGTTGTTTGGTGTCATGGTGGTGGCAGGAAGCACACGCCTGTACCGTCAGTTTGAATGCATAGGGAAGCCCCGTCCATAGTGGTACTGAGGTCCAGGAGCTTGCAAAAGTGCATAATGACGTCATATAGCCGGCGCCGGGCAGATTGCCAGCAATTACACCATAGCTTACGAATTGAAATGCCAGCAATAAGGCAACAAAGAGTAACAGGACTACATAGCTAGCTAGCTGGCTCATACACTGAATGGTACTCTCGGTCCCAAAATAGCCCTGAATTGTGACTGAGTGTGAATACTGAGCGTAGCGCTCATTCTGTAACAAATGCCTCTATTTCGGGACATGATACTGCGGGGGTGCACGCGACGCATCCACGTCGGCATGCAAAGTAATCTTTAGGCTACAGAATGAAGGACAGTGTCATAGCAGAGGCATGGAGAGACATGGCAGACAGATGCTTAATATAAGCTGCTGAGGGTATTGAGAAGTCCCTGAAATCGTGTTCTTCGTACCTTCTGCGCTTGTCTGCCCAAGCGTCAGGTCACAAATTGATCTAACCTGGCTTGGCACGGGGTCAGGGCAGTCTTTGACCAGACGAGACTTCAGATCAGGACACACACCGACCTTGCCTGACACTGTGCCTTCATACTGACCTGACCTGACGCGGGGTAAGGACTGGCCTAATGACCTGGCTTGGCAAGGCGCCAAGGCACACACTGACCTGGCTTGGCACGGTGTCAGGGCACACACTGACCTGGCTTGGCACGGCGTCAGGGCACACTCCATCAGACGGTCGCGAGGTCGCAGACGGAAATCACAGAACTGTTCCGATACCTCGATACCGGTTGTTCGACTTGTGCACACCGGCCGCATCACTTGAAATCCTGCGGGAGAGATTAGAGGTCAGGTCAGGTTAGATAACACTGAAAGTGAAAGCGTTGGTAAGATGCATTATGTGACACCATCAGTAACAGCTTCAAACATACCAGAAAATTGGTAAGAGTGAAAACAAGCCAATAATCCCATAAGGACACTGACACCAGGAAGCAACCAACACTCTCGAACACGAACTTTTCTAGTCAGACTCTAGCCACAGGTCGCATTTCAAAAGCGGCGCCCGATGAGGTCACAGGTCATCCCACTGCACAGGTCGGGCAGTGGCACACTAGCGGCTGCCGTCTCACAAATAGCTGTCGTGACAAACGCGTCTTTCGCTGTCCAAAACATGACATTACTCTGAAACGCGACGGAGTTGACATGACCGCCATGACACTAATTTGGATGGGCCACATGCCAGACATGGCAAGGAACAGCTCTGCTGCTCTAGACTGAATGTCGTAACGAGCGAGACAGTAAAAACTAAAAAGTGTTGACATGGCACAAGCTGTTTTTACAAATCGACTGGGTGGGTTTGTCACCCGGTCGTGGCCTATCAGTGGTGGTTGTTTGAGCTAATTGCGTAGTTAGTATTGATTACTAGGCATTCCAAGCGTTTAACAGTTTTTAAGTTATTGGAACGATCGATTCGGCAATGGTGCATCAATTAGATCAGTATCATCTTTATAAGAGAGTACGGAATGGATAATGTGCTTGCTGTGAACGGCTTTGAAGTGTGAGCCAGCTTGCAGGATTGCCGTACAAGTAAAACATGGTTAACGCGGTGAACACGTAGCCACGCTACTGATGTTCCAAGCCAAGCAACTCCGCGACTTTACCGACTCCCTACTCGAGTAGCCGATCTGTGACTCAACCAAACACACAACTACTCAGCCTCCGACTCCCAATCCAACCCCCCAGCCTCGCGATATACACAGCTAAAACGACCGCCACAGCCCCAAAGGTTGGCGTCTTCAATCTCCATAAAAGGCGGTTAACATCCCCGCTTTCCGACGTCGATTCCGCCACAGCCAGGTGAGGTGATAAAGGACGTTTTACAGCGCGTCTGAGGCGGCCTCTAACCCGAGGATCATCCCCCGAACGCCGCGCCCGAATCCTCCCGGAGAATACAGGCCATTTGGACGGTAAAAGCAACCGCCCTCGTGTCGGCGAACGGCGCTCTTTAGTGAAGAGCCGACAAGCACTTACGGCTGCGAAGGGATGCCGGTCGGGAGGGAGGAGTTTAATAAAAGCCGAATCGTCAGGTGCTTAATGCTTTGATACCGTTTGAAGTTCCCGAGTGTAATGAAGATGCTGTGTGGTATGACACAGGGTATAAAATACGATAAATTATCTTTTTATACTGCAAAAAGAACCTCGCTATGCCTACTTCTCGCACGGTGAGTCCATCTTTTATTTCAATCAAATAAAATCAACTGCACTGAAAACATGTTTCTTAAAATTGTTCTCTAATTTGAAATTTAGCTACCTAGAAAACAATAAGCGCTTTTTTAGAACCTTTGCCACAAACGTTGCAATTGATGACCAATGACCATGTCACATCAACCTGAAGGACTTCGACTAGGTGCGTCACATTTTACAATCGTTTCTAAACGAGGCATCTCCGTATGCAATGGGAAAATACCTGCATTTATTCTCTACTCAATGGCAAATTACGACTGCAACGGCAGTCACAGACCGTATTCCAGTGATCAATACAACCACATTAGCGTCCAAGGCTCTTCCATTCACTGTCATTTGATCACATCGCGTGTACGTGTGAGTCCCCCTCGCCTCCCCTGAAGCTCAGTCAGCTCGCCATATCTCCCGCATCTCCCAGACCGTATCCGCGTGTGGAAGACTCCCATGTCCGCGGTGCCGTCGCCTCAAAAGCGAAGAGACACGACCCACCGCGGCCCGACACTGCTGGGGCTTTGCCCGCTGCGGCGTGCTAACTAAGCCCTGTGAGGCCGGGCGCCCGCAGGTCGGGGCTGCTGAATGGGTCGCCGGGAAGCACCGACCGGGGACAGCGCGCAGCCACGGGGCGGTGGTCCTCGAGCGCGAAATCCGATCTCACGGGTCGCCGATGGACCGAGCGTCTCCGAGAACCGGGGCAGAGGGGAGGGGAGCGACGGCAGGGGAGGGGCTGTGCGAGGAAGACAATGTGTGAAGATGGCAGTGGTTACGGGAAGAAAGGAGAAGTCGCCCGCCGGAGATGTAAATAATTCCCGAAAGGCTGACGGATAACCTCGGGGAAAGAAGATGCTAGTAAGCAACAAACGAGAGAGCCGAGGCCAAATTTTACTAGAAATGCTGCACCTGACAGACAAGCTATTGAACTCTTGTAGCCAGTTCTCGCCCTGTCTGACAAGACTGCTTTCGAAACTCGAGCACGCGTCTGTATGCGACGCAGGCAGGAAGTGATCGAGAATGCGTCTCACGAGGCGGCTTCAACGCCAGCAATGAAGTAACCCCGCGGCTCCAGTGAACGGCTGTCGATTTGGATTGACATGCCGAGTTGCTTACTGCCAATCTGTTTGCTATCTGCCTGTCAGCGCCGCTTCAGAGCCTCAGACGAGTGGTGTCTGGCGAGATGCCCCCCACCCCCTCCCCCAGGGCGCTCGCTGCTTTCCGAACATCGTAAGCGAGAGATTAGTGTAGTGTGGTAATTTCTCAATCAATCAATACACAGACTGAACAGTCCACATTGCAATTTGCGGCCTCGCCTCAAGTCATTGAAATTATACATCCTTTGAAATCCCCTGCGAAAATGAAATTCATCGTTGACGGAGATGTTGATGAGAGACGCAGGTCTTGCTAAACATAATGTGTTTATCTTGAATAAAAAATAGTCCACAAATTTTAAGGATAACACGGCGCACCAAGCACTCTAGACCCCCCAAAAAAAGACCATCGTGATCATCCGAAGGGTACTAAGAAAAATGTCAGCTTCTTTGGCACACAGTCAAACATGATTTACACCCATGACAGTGACACCGAGGCTCACCATTGCAAAAGACCGGGGACACCAACGATCCCTGAACTGCAGACATGCACCACAGAGGTGTCCACCGCCCGTGCCTACCTTGCAGGGTACGTCTGCACAGTACCTACCTCCACCGCAGGTGGCCGAGCAGGGTGCGATCTCCTTCTCCTTCCAGAAGTGGTGTGCCGTGCTGCAGCTGGATCCGTCGCCGCCGCACACTCCGCACACATCCACTGTGCGGTTTGAGCCGATACGTAGGTCACACCCGAGAGGCTGGCGGAGAGACGGCGGGGTCAGGTCACAAAGGTCAGGTCACTGGACTCAAGTCAGACAATGTGTTAGGTCAGGTCACTGGATCAGGTCAGGCCAAACCGTCAAGTGACACTTCAGCAGTTGATGTTTCAACAAACAGTCAGCTTAAAAACTCTAGCCCAATCGTTCCCATCGTTCGATGAAGATCAGTCATTGCTTCGCCGTTGCATGGCATCAGCTGTGAGTCGATCTGTTTGCTACATGTATGTTTACCACACACTCTGTTGAACCGATAGGCGCCGTGCAGTGTGCTCTTTGATGTGGTCATTCGTTTGGCATTACGTGATGTGACGTCATGTGGGTAAATATATGACGAAGTAGTCTGTGATATGTGTCTGCTTCACTTTTTCACAAATCTTACAGTTAGCTCTGCAACTGCAATTGGCAGACTTTCAGCAGGTGAATGGCTGAGAAGTCCCGACGTAAGTGTAGTGAGACAGGGGACATGGCATGTGCCCAGCTTATCCATTGCGGTCACGTGACGGTGGCCGCTCAATCAAATAAGAAGCTTACTCTGTTAAATCGCCTGTGATGTTTCCTTTGCCGACCGACATGTCAGCAGAGTAAGTCGCCACGCATGTCAGAGAGTTATTACGCCGGGTCAGGACATAAGATTAACAACATAATTATCCGACCTCACATTGAACGCTGGAAATTGAATGGCATTCAAAAGATAATGTAACTGAAATGAAATGATTGCAATTACTTTCCGAGATCCGACTGTGAATACAGAAAGAACTTAGGTATGATTTCGATGAATTTTAAAGCGATACAACAGCTAGAAATAACTGCATGCTCCATATATCCAGACAGGGTTACTTTTACAGGAAAAGTTGAGAGGGGGAATAAAGTTCGGGGCAAAGGCGGATCCAGGGGCATCTGAAAGGGGGGTGGGCGGCAATACCATTAGGTTTTTCGTTAGGATGGAGCCCGCAGAACCTTACCTACCCCCAAATCCTATTCTTTCCTCGGGTTTCAGCCACTTTATTTTGGAAGGTTGCCAAAAAATAATTTTGCTAAAAAATATACGCACCTACCTTGGCTGTAAGGGGCGGGGGAGGTCCCAACTTGACTGCGCCCTTACAAATGCCAATCAGTAGTATCAACCTATCAGTGGTATCAATAACTAGTAGGTATACCCCGGTCAAACATTAAGTAACGCCTTTCTAAAGAGAGAGGTTAATCCGCGCCCTGATTGGAGGTCATTTTGGCCCCCATGTGGGTTTTCTTGAAAAGCGAAAAACGGCGGCGCGCAGCGCCGCCAAATTTTTAGTTCCTTACCGGGCATCAATTTGAAACCTTCGCACAAAATTTCAAGTCTACTCTTAGGTCACCTTAGGTCAGGAGTAATTGATGTCAAACTGTTCGAGCAAAAATTAGCAAAAAACATGAAATTCTTAAACGCTCACAAAAGCTACAGTTAACGAGCAATTCCAAAGTTCTTTGTGTGGTCGTGTATGTAGAGAAACGACGGCGCTACAAAACTGCAACCTCTACAACTACAAGGTGGGCAGTGATATCCGAACAAAAACTAATGAAGCACAAAACTTGCATTATTACTATTAGTATTAGTGAGCAGTGAAAGTTCCATTGGGAAAGCCGGCTGTGATGAGGTACATTTTTTGCGCCCTGCTCTGCATGCAAAGCAGATGAACGTGAATGCTGCATAAAGAGAAAAGTCATTTATTACTCAAAGCTTTGATGCCTATGGGACAAAAATAACGTTGTTTTTCCTTCAATGATTCCGGTTTGGAGGATGGTTAAACACGGCCATTGTCATATTGGGACACAAAATTTTAGATGTCTGGCCTTGGCGTCGATGAAAAAGTGAAAATAATCGTGAATAAATGGGTCGTTTCTGAGAAAGAACACAGAATATAAAAGGGGGTCCAAAAGGGGGTCACCTTCTTTTTGCGTCAAAGGAGGGGCCATGGCCCATTGCCCCCCTCCCCCTGTATCCACCCTTGGTTCGGAGAGGTAATCCCGTCTCCCGCCGGTTTCTACGCCGACGCCTGTACCGATATGTCAGTGATTGCGAAAAGACGGAAGAGACAAGACAAGAGACGGTCCCACCGACTATCCGATCGGTATCGGGTCAAATCTGGAGTTCCTGCTGCACTGAACGTAAAATGGTTGGATGGAACCGAAAATTGAAAATTTGATAATTATCAACGCCAGCAACGTTGATTGATGACGAGAATCTGATTAACGATGACTATAGAATCTGAATAGCGAATTGATTGAAAATGGGCTCCAAAATAAATTTGAAAGGGGGAAATTCCCCCTTCCCTCCCTAGCCGTTCAGACACGATTTGAAAGGGGGAGCGGAATTTTCGAAGGGGGGAAATTCCCCTCTTCCCCCCCTTTAAAAGTAACCCTGTATCCAGAATACGGATGGCTATGTTGAAAAGCTTCAGAGTTGTTTGAAACATAATCAGAATTCAAGTACCACATAGTTCACATTTCTTCAAGGCATTAAGTCAACCTTATCTTATCAAGCTAATGATATATCCTTCAGACATTTCAAATGCGCATTTACTGCAAAGATGATACTGCTTTGAAAGAGCTGTGAATCAATCCAGCCTTCAACACATGTCGTTCACTCAACCTCTCAATCCTATCACTTTTACGTGAGTAGCATACCTTCAACGATAATTTAACTCGAGTCCCGCATCGCGACAAATAACTGTACCTCTCCTCCACGGCTTTAATCCTACCGATCCGATCAAGGTTTGGCCATCTCTCCCCGCCCGACGGGGCATCAACTTCTCCATCTTATCGTCTCGTGCCTTCTCGCATGTTTCGCTTCCGTTTCATCCCGGCGTGGGGCGACAGATCTCTGCGGCCATCTCCAGCCTCGCCCCGGCCGCGTCGGTTCGCGCTGATCTCTTGTTTTTGCCCTGTCGCCGACAGCAGCGTACAGCCAGCCGCCTCAACGGGATAGAACCGACAGCGGCGACGCAGCGGCGGCGGCGCGGAGGGCGGCGCTCCACAAACGGTGATAGCACAAGAAGAAACAACAGAGCCGATGAGAGTTTTTACACCTGTCTGCGTGCCGGCTGCAGCGTCTGCTCATTACTCCGTCAGGCTGACGTCAAGGGCCGATGGCGGTGACCGCTCTATCCGCTCGTAATGCGCCGGCCGGCGGACGACAGTAGTGGATGGAGTGGGTGCGCGACCGCTGTGTCCGGCCCACCCGGCCTGGCCCGGCCCGCTCCGTATTGATCCAATGCAGGGAGCGGGCCGGATTTTCGTGGGTCCTGGCCCGGGGCGGGCCGGCTCGGCTGCTGGCATGCGGCCAACTTCCGTCGACTGTGCCGCCGGCCGCCGACAGAGCGGCGCCTCGGGGCACGGGTCAGACCGGATCTCCGCTGACCCTCTGAGTCATCCGGTCAGCGCCGACAGCAGTCCAAACAACGGGCGGGGGTTCGCGCCCAACCACTTATCCCCGGTGACACTGGATGGACCGACCGGCCAGACAGATGGTCTGGAAAGCGCCGAGACGGCGACCTCGACTGAGACAGCGACCGCGACCGAGACAGCGACCTCGGCTGAGACAGCGACCGCGACCGGGACAGCGGCCGCGACCGAGACAGCGGCCGTGACTGAGACAGCGGCCTCGACTCTCAGCCTGACAGGGTAAAACGGCTAGAAACGGCTCCGATTTCGACAGTGTTTTGAATGACATCCATTGATTGCAGTATTGCTCTCGATTACAGAAATGGTAGTCTTGCTGCAGCTGATTTGAAGAAAGGCGGAACCAATTAATTATTGGATTAGAGAATAATGCGATTGACTTGTAAGTACGGCATGTTATGTTATGTGTCTAGCATTGAACGACTATCACGCGAATGATTGCAGAATAATTCTGTTCTACAGCTCAGATCTAGTTCACCGATCAGGTGAAGGGACATACCCCTTACCTCTCGCATGCAGAAAGGCTAGATGTGTCATTTAGACGTTGAAAACCACATTATTGGACCTATGTACGATTTCCTGAATTCATTTCACATGAAGTTAAACATAAATTACTGCAAGTCATATTTCGCAAGAGGTTTTCGCGGGCAAGAGCTTGACAGCCTGGAACCAACTTTAATTGCATTTTTTAACACCATCAAGCGGAGTAAAATCCTAGCTTTAAACTTATTCACCGCATTAGGAGCTGCTCTGTGGCTTATTCTCCCGCCTCATCCACCGGCAAACTTCATCTCCGGCGCAGAAAAACGAGCATTCCTCCTCGCTGGTCCGCCGACTAACGGCGCCACACTGCACAGCGCCGGACTCAGCCGCGGAGCCGCGCCGGCGGCAAAAGTGGCGCACAACTGAGACGTGCCGGCACAAAAACGACACAGTGTCCCTGCGGCAGCGGTGTGCTCCCACGCCGGGCAGATCGCCGCGGCTCTGGTCTGCCTCAGAAGGAGACAACTCCTCCAGCCGGCGGCTCGGCGACAGAACGGAAAACGAAAACGAATTCACGGCCTCGGCATGAAGTATGGGCCATCTTATAAATCACGGCAAATCACCGGTGAATATGGCATTATGTTCTAGAGACTGGACAGATGGGAACTCTGGACGAGCCGCCGAGTGCTGAATTAATCAAACTATATGCAAAATGTCCTAGCCCAAAATTGATGACGTCGATTTTTCCATTGGCGCCAAATTGCAAAACGCTTTATATGGATCCACTTCAACATACTCAAACTAACAAACAAGAATTGCCGTAAACATGGAATAATATGCATGGATGTGTGTGTGTTTTTTTGTGTGCTAAATTCAGGGTCAATGAAGACGCTTTATCAAAGTTGGCTGAAATGAACGATTTACATTTTTGTGGGAAAGTTAAAATACTAAGTTCATTTAGCACTATAGGATTTTATAATGGCCACCGTCGTGCTTAGCCCTGCAAAAAGTCGTCAGACTACCCGTGGCCCCATTCGCAGCATCTGTATCCAATTGCACCACTCGGCAGCGCGCCCCTCCGCGCCACTCGGCAGTGCGTCCCGCCGCCAGTCGGCAGCGCACGGGTCATGGCAGCCGCCGCCACGGATCGGTTCGTGATCCATCGCGGCGATAATAAGAGCCGACGGACCCGGAGCTCTCGGTCGGCCAATCCGTCAGCTCCGCCAGACTGCGACGGTCGGTCGCCGACTCCGACTGCGGCCACGGCAAAAACAGCCGCCGACCGATCAGTGCGCTCCTCTGGAGATTAGAGGAAAGCCCGTGTCGGTTGATGGAATCTGGGGGGATCTGAGGTGGATTTGATACGCCGGCACCACGTTCCAACGCGGCGCGGCTTTGAAAACAGCCCTGCTCCTTCACAAGGTCATCTCGACCCAGATATGAAAACATCGATCGGGCTACTTCTCCTGACAGACCGATAAGAATATCGTTCCACCATTTCCGACATCCGGTCGCTCGATGACGTCATGAGAGCCTATGACGTCACCCCCTCTGCCGCACGTTCCGGGCGTTCCTGTCGTTCGCGGCGGTGCAAATCCGGAGCCACTTCATCAGGGCCACCGTGCCACTCAGGGCGGCCCGGCTTTATCTCTCCCATGAGCGGCCGTAATCAGTAACGAGAACGGCTGCCGCTCGCATCAGCCGAGCTCTAAATTAACGGCCCGCCGCAGCCGCCGCGCCGCGCATCGTTCGCCGCCTTACCACTTTACGGCTGCAGCGTAACGCAGCACAGAGCGAGTTTTATTCATGCCGCCGGTATATCATTCTCGTCGCCGCCGCCGTCGTCGTTGTCGCTTTCGACGCCCACAATGCAACCTACGCTGCTGGGAAGACCAGCCGCCGGGAGCCGTTTGTATTAATTGGATGATCAGGCATCGACGACTCGGGCATTATTCGTCCTGACTTATCGAATCCAAAGCCGAAACCAGAGCGACGACGACAATGCGTTGGCGCTGCTATCTCCGGAGACAAACGTTAAGCCCCGTCGCAGCGGTGGGTGGTAAATTCGATAGGCGATGAACGCTTTTGGATATGGCAACGGTCGGAGGCTTGCGAGACCTGGATTTGGGAATTTCCTGCCCTATCCGTGTCCACACGGATACTGCAGTTCACGAGGTGTTTCGCGATCGACTCGGGGTTGTAGAAGTGGGGATGGCTGGGGTAGAGGTAGTCCTGGGGTAACACGAGGACATCCAAGGTAACACCGGGTATGATCGAGTACCACGAAGTGTCACGCCACTCGCACAAGATCGACGCCAGCACGCGTCGTCACCTCACAGTGGCATCGACGCGACGCCCATCGACGACCGCCGGCGGCACAAACCGTCGTCGTCGTCGTCGTTGACAGTCGATACGACTCGACACGGGTGCCGATGCGGTTCAGTAGCAGCCCTCCATTGCAATGTGTAGCTGTGTGTCGGATAGCGTGGGTCGTCACAGGTCCCTGCTCGGACTGATGGATCGGAACTGACGCGCGGTGGGCGGTGACCCGGCCGAGTTACGAGGGCGAATTCATGACCTCCTGGAATGCATCGATCGGCGGACGGGCAAAATATCGCCAGAGCCGGTGGTGGCATAAACGTGCATTGGCGCAAAGAGCAGAATATATCCTGAGTAGTCTCACAGTTTCAAATGTCAATGCTTATGCCGCAATGGCAACGTTTTTGTCAATGCTTTTATTATTTACATCGGTAATTACTTTGATGTGAACAAAATATCTAAGCAAACAAAGCTCTGCCGTCTATGTCTCTCTATGGCCTCTGTCTACCAATATTCGCAGCTGGTTTCACATCACCCACCTCCTGCGAAATCTCCCTCCCCGTCTCACTCACCTCACACTTTCCGTCGATGCAGATATCCAAACTCCCATCTCGGCACCTGGTTCCATCGATGACCCTTGGCGAGAGCTGCCGCACCAGGCCGGTGCCGATTGCTCGACAGGTGAGGGCACACGGCTCGGTGAGGTCGGGGTAGGGCTCCCAGCGGTAACGACGCCCGTCGCTGTGCCGACGGTGGTCGTACGCGGCACACTGGGCCACCCGAGGGTCGGTGGCGTTCACACAGACCTGGAATAGGGCGAGATGGGGTTAAAAGACACATCGGAAGAGTGTGAGATTACGATTCAAGTGACATATCTCAAATAGATGGCGTTAGTAGACAATCACCTGTGGTAGGGAGGGGGGGGGGTAAAAGTATACCCAGTATGGACCTAAAGCGGAAGGGTTGGGGCCAGAAGATGCCCTCTGGAAAAAGGACAATGGTTAAGAAGACACGTGTCTGGTATGGGTGAGTTTAAAAAAAGTGCCTGCGTGGAAAAGCGAGGTGGGAATGGTGGGATTATGAGGCAAATCTGGAATAAGGCAGGGTGGGGCAGAATAAACGCATAAGGAACAGATGAGGTTTGGTGAGAAATAGCGATGTGGTGTTTAGAATATAACGCACAGAGTGGGCTGTATCGGATCAAAGGACACAAACACAGAAGAAGGCGAGGCAAAGGGCGACAGAAGTATGATGGGTAAAACGGTTTTCGTGGGAGTTGGTTGCAAGGAGAAGTACAGGTTTCAACGACTTTGCAATACTCGTGTCACTGTGCTATTGTAGCTGTTGTAGGCTGTTATAGGCTGTAGTGGCTAATGTTTATTGGTCACTTATAAACATTTTTCCTGCAAGGAAAGAAATAATGAAATAAACGAGGCTTCCGCTTCCCTCAAATAAGTCAGCATGCATCTTGTACTTAAAAATCAATACTGACATGTCACCTACTGCATTATGTGGGTAGCGTAAGGCTTCGAATGCACGGTGGTGTCCAGAGTTCCCCTGAAAATGTTCCTCATTATTCGACAAAATGAAGTGAAGTTTGCAAGTTGGGCGCTGCCAGATTTTAAAAATGGGATAACTTTTGATCGCATGTCGCGCCTTTGCTATGCTAATGTAGTCACTTAATCCTGGGTTTGGTGCTATTTTAATAGCAAATGTCAGAGCACTGGTCAGGAAGGCAAGAGCGGACAGACCAATTTAGATGATAAATGAGTGATTCATCTTTGGAGCAGTTCGTTATAGAGCATAATTCTGGACGTAATTACACATCACGGCATACGGAAACTTGCAGTTCCGGTTTTATACATTACACATGACTAAGAAAATTGTGGCTTTCTAGAATATCTACTGGTCAAGTAGGATAATTATTATGCGTGACATACAACAATGACATCTTAAAAATAACTTTAATGTTAAACTTTTTTGCTTCACCTTGCCTTGAACGCTTGCACTCGCATGCACTCCCTTGCACATGGTCTGGAATGGCTTATCGCTGCCAGGTCCGATGTCAAATGATCTCTCTCGTTTTTCCAAGCGACCAATTATGCTGTCCTTAGTGTAAGATGAGCCGTTGCTTTGCTTCTGACAGCTCATTTAAAAAGTTAGACCGCTCACTTCAAAGGGGACCTCTGAACTCAATAATACCTGAGTCGGAGCAGGCCTAAATCACACTCGTGGGACTTAGGGACAGAGAACAGCACACGCTAAAGAGACAACCAGCGCAGTTCATTGAAGGCTAACCAGCCATCTGAATGCTAACGACAGGCGTAATTAGAAAACAAAAAACGAGGTTAAGTACAACAAATAAGGCTATGCTGTAAATCACTTTATATTGCTCATGAAAGATCTATTAACCACAAAATTAGTACTCTACTGCAGACGGGATTATATATTCCCGACCGGGGCTGGGAAAATGCGTTTTATTCACCGAGGTTTTTGTGCGGAGGACCGAGTGCCGGTAGGCACGAGGTCCGTAGCCAAAAACCGAGGTGAATAAAACTGCATTTTCACAGCCCAAGGTTGGGAAGAGATTTACCACATGCCGTACCGGCGCAACAGTTAATATCATATTCATTTGATATTTTACACTTTAATCTTAATATTGTGTTAATATTATATTAATACTATGTTCATATTTATAGTCACCGTGATTATTTGTTTGTGTTTTTCATTATTAGGCTGCTTTGAGTATGAAAGATGAAATTCCTACTTCCCCTTATTTAGGGTTTGAAAAAGCTGAGGATGAAGATGGTGAAACGCCAGAAGTTAGAATACAGAAATGGAGTCCAGCAGGAGTGAGGAAACCGCGAGGAAAACTAAAAATTGGGTGTAACGCTGAATCAAACGCGTCTTGGATCCCAGCTGGAACAATATCAAATGTTTCATTGTGGCACGTTAAGATGCTTCACGCATTTAAATTGTTCGTTTTTTGCGTGCATTATGTAGAAATAATGATTATTCCGACCATGTTCTGCAGCAATAAATACATTGGCATTGGAACGATAACCTTGTTTAGTTGAATTACGTTGACAGCAAAAGTATGTAAACACGCAGTCACTTACTCTTGCTGTTGCTGTTAGTGAACACACAATCCGTAAATATCTTCTTTGAAATTGGTTCTTCCGCTCAGAATATTCAGTAAAACTTTGTCTGGGAAAATCAAAAAGCCCTAGGGCCGAATCGTTTCCCAAATACCTTCAACATTAGCCGAGGCGGGCCGAAGCCATTTCCCAAATGCACGTGCTAATGTTATATATAATACTGAACGAGGCCGGTGTAAATAAATTTTCAAGACCGAGGTCCTTACTGGATTTTTGAACGAGGCCGAAGGCCGAGTTCAAAAATCAGTAAGGACTGAGGTCTTGAAAATTTATCACCGGCCGAGTTTGGTATGTATTTTACTGTATGCCAACGATAAATTTATTTTCTGGACCGAAGCTCTTAGCCGACTTAGGAACGAGACCATCCCAAAATGTTCGCTTAAGTGCATTCTGGTAATGCATTTTTGACCGTGGTCAATTTGCTTACACCAGTTATTACCACACCCCTCTGGCTAATGTATTTGAATAGGCCAGGCATACAGTAAAAGGGATATCTCGGCATGTGGTAAAACAAGAAAATTGTTCATAAGAATAAAACAAAATATATCTGACCTTACGGGGCATTTCATGAATTTAAAGTATCACCAGAAATAAAATACATTTGATGACTGGGCAGCAGATTGAGTTTACCCACCAACTTAGGAAACAATCAACCGCTAAAATTCGGTTAACCTACCATTCCCAGTCCATGCAACCGTCCACAGTCACTTCTAGCAGTCACCATAATGGGCCAGTGACCTACAGCCGTGAGTGTATGTCTGTCTGCTCGTCACCAGCGGCCAACAGCACACGACCATCCGGCATGGCACCCTGAGCCGTGGGTGTATGTATGTGTCTGTCTGTTCGTCACCAGCGACGAACAACACACTGCTCTTCGGCAGGGCACCTGTCCCTCTTTCGGCATTGTGACCCGTCGACAACAGTGGCCCATTAGCAGCGCCATGCGACGGCCGAGCCGGGATTCTCACGGTGTTTAACGTATTGGTGTGTGGAGCAGGTGGACAGTGGGTGTGGGTGGTGGAAGGTGGACACGGAATGGTGGAGGGTGGATACGAGTGGTGGAAGCGATTGGTGGAATTTGAAATGTGGATGGAGGGTTGAGACGTGGTAGGTTGATGTGAAATTATGGAAGTTGAATGCTAGTGGTGGAAATGACATGTGGACTTTGGAGAGTGCCAGTGGACATGAGAGGATGGAAAGTGAACGCAAGTGGTGCAGTTCAACGAACAAGCCATGACACCGTGATAAAGCTTGTGTCATGATGTCATGACGCAAAATGGTTAATGGCGACAACGGGTGACTGATAGCCTCAAGGTCAGACCCGAACGATTGCACTTACAGATAGCATCAGGTTGTCTGAACCTGGTCGGCAACAGGTGTGGAGGTGGATTGATGGCATTGCTGATCCGCCACACACACGATAACCATTGATTATATCAAGTCTATCGGCATTCCTTTGGTGCCGGTATCATAACAAATACTTATAATTGTTTCATATCTTATCATAAAACAATGCAAGCAGAAATCAGATCCAATCAAATACACATCGAGTGCACTTCAACCAGCGACATCTTCGACAGCACGCAAGTCTTGGTACCCTCCCACAAGCTCACCAATAATTATTCTGTGGCGCATCCTCCTCAGCCATCGAGCGCCACGGGAAGCCATCTTTCGGAGAAAGTTTCGCCCCTTAACCTCAGTTCGACCAGAAGCCCCCATCCAGCGCCATCGTCTCATTATAACCGACAAGTTATGACGGGGTGCGACTAATTATGCGCTGAATGGCCACACGACTGACCGCCGGGTCAGCGGAGGTCATGACCTGTGACCTCGCCTCCACCCCCTCGAGGCCTCCGGCATTGGTAACGAGGTCGGATCAACACCGTCCGTATGGATTTGTGGTCAGTTCGTCAGGTCACGTTCGCAGGGGAACCGGCATGCGTCCTGTTTTCTACACAGACCCGACGTCAAGCCTGTCAAACTGTGTCTGCCATGACTGAGCGATGCGCTAGTCTGAACGATCGCGGCGGCTAGGGCAGCATTGGAGAGACGCCTTCAGCAGCTACGGTAGCTCCCTGTCAGAGCAGCAGCTCCTTGGAAGCCAAGGCATTTAATTAAGACCGGAAGAAACCCATTATTTGCGACTACAAACGGTGTCTATCGATTATGCGCGGATACACTGGCGTTAATTTAGGCTGAAAGTCGGGAGGACGATTATTCAAGACGCTTCAGGCGATACGGAACGGGTGGGAAGGAGACGGGGCAAGTTTTGGAAAGGCAGAGTCCATGGAAAGGCAGAAGGACCGCCCGAATCAATTCTTGACCAAACACGTTCTGAGTGCCGGATAAAATAACAATAATGATTAATGACGTTAGGCATATACTAGTTAGTAAACAGCATAATGGCCAGGGGCGGTCGCAGACTTGGAGTTTGGGGGGGGGCCAACTTGTCAAAGGGGCCCCTGCGCTGACCCGGGGGGCCCGGTGCTAGCTTAAAGGGGCCCACGGACGTAGTGCACGGGTGCAGAAATCCAGGCCATGGCCGGTGAAGCAGGGGGGGGGGGGGGTAGTGAGCGGCACCCGAGAGGAGGCTCATTGCGAAATGCGAGCTTTGAGGGTGTACCATGTCGAAAAGGTACCGATAAGTGCATTTTGAAACATTGATATTGTCAATAATTCACGCAACTGTGAATGGACTACCGCAAAAGTAAAGGCGGCGCGGCTAACTTTGCCATTTTCTAAGATCATCGTGCTAAAACTTTTGACAGTTACCGGGGTTACATGAGCAAGTAAATGCGTATCAGGAACGGATTTTCCATATTCGCTCACCATTGTAGTCCGTTTGTAATGCGTATTAACTCTGCTCATGTAACCCCGAGCTATGGGTCATCGGTATCTGTTCACTGTTCAATCACATGTGTTCCGTTTCATCTTTTTTCTTTTTTTTTTACTTGAGCACAAATGCAAGTTTTGAAGGCCATTACAGTAGCCAATACTTCGGAAGATGGATAGTGGGCCAAATATCCTAAATTTGTCGTGCTGCATGGAAAGTAGTGTTGCTGAGAAAAGGGGGTTTTGTTCCAGATTACTGTGGATGCAGAATACATTGTCTGCACCCACTGCAGAATTATTGTTGGTGCAACTGCGCCCACTGCACCCATGGTTCCTACACTTATGGGCCCATCGATAGCGTTTCGGCGATACCTATCGCCTAGAGGCTGCAATGGGGCCCTTAGAGTACGGTGTCAGACCCCCCAGAGGCCGGCGTTGGACCCAAGGGCCAGCGAAGGGCCTCAAAGGCCCCAGGTAGGGCCCCAGAGGCTGATGTGGGCCTTCAGAGGCAAGTGCGTGACGCCCAAAGGTAAGGCTTGAGCCCCCCCCCCCCCCCAGAGAACATAATAGGGCCATCAAAGGCCGGTGTGGGACATTTAGAGGCTGGTTTGGGCCCATAGGGGCCAGTTTAGGGCCATCAGAGACCAGTACAGGGCCTGCAAAGGGCAGTTTGAGACCATCAGAGACCGAATTGGGCACTCAAAGGCTAATGTGGGTCCTTACAGGCCAGCATGGAGCCCTCAGAGGTTACCGTGGGACTCTAAAAGACCGACATGGGCCGGCGTTGGATCCCAGAGGCCAGTAGAGGGCCGTCAAAGGCCAAGATGGGCCCTCAGAGACCGATGCGGGCCCTTAGAGGCCGGCATCGGGTCTTCAGAATCCAGTGTGGGGGCCCTCAGAGGCTAATGTGAGCCCTCACAGGCCAGCATGGGGCCCTCGAAGGTCAGAATAGGACCCTAAAAGACCGGCATGGGCCGGTGTTGGACCCCAGAGGCCAGCGGAGGGTCCTCAAAGGCCAAGATGGGCCCTCAGACGCCGATGCGGGCCCTGAGCGGCCGGCATCGGGTCTTCAGAAGCCCGTGCGGGCCCTCAGAGACTAAGGTGGGTCCTTACAGGCCAGCACGGGCCCTCAGAGGTCAGTGTGGGGCCCTAAAAGACCGGCATGGGCCGGCGTTGGACCCCAGAGGCCAACAGAAGGCCCTCAAAGTCCAAGATGGGCCCTCATAAGCCGATGCTGACCCTTAGAGGCCGGCACCGGGTCTAATGAATCCAGGGGGGCCTCAAAGGCTAATGTGAGCCCTTACAGGCCAGCATGGGCCCTCAAAGGTCAGAATGGGACCCTAAAAGACTGGCATTGGCCGGTGTTGAACCCCAGAGGCCAGCAGAGGGCCCTCAAAAGCCAAGATGGGCCCTCAGAGGATGATGCGGGCCCTTAGATGCCGGCATCGGGTCTTCAGAATACAGTGCGGGGCCCACAAAGGCTAATGTGTGTCTTTACAGACCAGCATGGGGCCCTCAGAGGTCAGTGTGGGGCCCTAAAAGACCGGCATGGGCCGGCGTTGAACCCCAGAGGTCAGCGGAGGGCCCTCAAAGGCCAAAATGGGCCCTCAGACGCTGATGCGGGCCCTGAGCGGCCGGCATTGGGTCTTCAGAATCCAGTGCGGGGGCCCTCAGAGGCTAATGTGGGTCCTTACAGGCCAGCATGGGGCCCTCAGAGGTCAGTGTGGGGCCCTAAAAGGCCGGCATGGGCCGGCGTTGGACACCAGAGACCAGCGGCGGAGGGCCCTCAAAGGCCAAGATGGGCCCCCAGAGGCCGATGCGGGCTCTTAGAGGCCGGCATCGGGTCTTCAGAATCCAGTGCGGGGGCCCTCAGAGGCTAATGTGGGTCCTTACAGGCCAGCCAGCATGGGGCCCTCAGAGGTCAGTGTGGGGCCCTAAAAGGCCGGCATGGGCCGGCGTTGGACACCAGAGACCAGCGGAGGGCCCTCAAAGGCCAAGATGGGCCCCCAGAGGCCGATGCGGGTTCTTAGAGGCCGGCATCGGGTCTTCAGAATCCAGTGCGGGGCCCTCAGAGACACTTAAAGTCTAGTCTTGGGACTCGAGAGACAGAAATGAGGCCACCAGAGGCCGGTGTGAGGCTCTCAGACGCCGGTTGGGCCCTTGAGGCCGGTTTAGGGGCCCTTAAAGGCCAGTGGAGGGCCCTCAGAGGTCAATGTGGGTCCTCAGCGGTCAATGTGGACGCTTGACCGCCACTGAAGGGCCCTCAGAGGTCAGTGTAGGACCCTCAAAGACTGGTATGGGAGCTGTTAATAGCTGGCGTGGGTTTCTCGAGCCTCGTGACAATCGAATACGGGCCAGGGCCCCATACGGCCATGTGGGCCCATCGGTTGTTTGGGGGGGGGGCAAATGATATGATGGCCCCCCCTGATTTGGCTTTGGGGGGGGGCCATGGCCCTGATGGCCCCCCCCTGCGACCGCCACTGAAATGGCAGCTTCTCAAGCATGCCTTATTGCTTGGAAAGCTAGAAAACCATTTAGTGTAGATACTAGATATAGATTACAGACGCTTGCTATTTGTTATATCATGAACTCTATCTTCATAAGACTATTAAGTTTGACGCTCATTTCACACGTTTCTGCTAGAACCGTAGTATGGCCATTTGAAACGATTCATTCTTCCGCAAAGCTTACGTGTTTCCATTAATACGAACTTATGTCGGCGTGGTCGTTGCTTATTGACTGCGCTCTGGCTCTAACGCGGACCAAGTTACCTGCGGAAACCGGGCGCCTCCGCCACTGTAGTGGCTCCACCAAACAACTTTATTAAAAAACGCACGGCGTCAGCAGACGCGAGACCAAGAAAATATCACGTCCCGCTGCGATATAAATTTCTCCCGGCACGGGATGGGGCCGGAGGTCGGCGGCAGCGGAGCGGGGGAGCTGACTCAGTCTACCGGGAGACAACCGCGCGTAGTCGGGGAGTCAATGGAGTCGGGACTCTGTGTCGGCTAATTTGAAGAGCCAAACAAGTCGGTTTTGTTTAGACTCACGTCAAAATACATCGTAAATGCTGAGTTTAGAGTAGCTTGAGGGGAAGGTTAGTATTCAGGCCTTCAGGCAAGCCAAGTTAGCTCGGGCTCGAAATATAGGTAATTGCATTAGATATCCATGAAAAAACTCTGTAAATTGTAAACGATTCATAAGCTGATCGCTATGCTGATCGTTAGCATTTCAACCGTAAAACACCCAAACAATAAACCTACATAAATCCAGTCAGTCCTCGAATGTCATCCTACATTTCAGCTCTAAACAAATCCACACAAGCGGAGAGCATAACGGTAGCGCTCCCGTGCATTCCGGTCGCCATAGAGCACTTGCCGCCGAACTAGCACGCCGCTCACAGACTCTGGATGACGGACGTCCCTGGTTTTACGGCAGGATGGGCCGCTCGCTCTGGACAGGCCGGGCGGTCTGGCTCGGTCGGCGGGTCAAACCATCAGGAAATGAGCCGTGTCAGTGCGGCCCGGAGCTCAGATAGACCGGCACATCGACGATGAACGACCGGTCAACGGTGGCGCCACCCAGTTAGTGGGCAGAGCGTAATGAGATGAATAGTGTGACGGAGAGGGTGACGGAGAATGTGGCGGAGAACGTGACGGAAAACGTGACGGACAGCGTGACGGAAAAAGTGTTGCAAAACGCGACGGAAGAAGCGATGAAGAAGAGCATCATGGAGATGATAGCAGAAGGAGCGACAAGGAGAATGATTGCGACTTGCGAGGAAAGATGATAATAGACTCTGGATTAAGAGATTACAGAAAAAATGGATGGGGATCCAACGAATAATGTGACAAAGCAACCCAATAGATTTCATCAGCGAGTGCCACAAACGAACGGCGGCTGATGACTGACCTGCATGTTGCACATTTGTCGGCGCACGCCCAGGCCGGGACAGCCGTGCTCCCGGTGGCAGATGCGCGTCTGCCGCGTGACGCCGCCGTCACAGGGCTGGCTGCAGGGACCCCAGTCGCTCCACTCTGTCCACCCGTCAACCTGTGAACAAAAATACAGACGTCAACTCGAGGGCAAGAGAGACGGCCTAACCTGCGGGCAGAAAATACATACAGGCAAGATACAGGCGTCAACGTAAATGAACCAGACACCACTGCAACCAAATACTTGCACCCTTCAACCCGATGGCACAATACGCATTATACAGCCGTGAACCTGAGGACGAAACATAAAACCATTAACCTGAGGGCATAAGATATCGCCGTTAGCTTGAGTCAGTCAATTGCTTATAAGTGATAGTTAAATTGCATTTGTCTATCCGCAGCTTAATCGTGCCAAGTCGGGCACGGGGTAGCTCCGCCGCCAGCTTCAGGGTGGTCCATGAGCAGTGAGCACTGAGCAGCAGCACTAAATTGTAACCACCGCCGACTGGCCCAGACACTGCAGCGTGACATGCTATCGGTATATTTTCCTTTGCACACCTCAGCTGGCCGTTAAAAACGTTGCGAAAGCTCTCCATCAGAGCTCATGCCAGAGCGGTGAAATGCTCCACCCGTGCCAACTGCCAGGTCGGCCGATTGAGCGCCACTCCGGCACGCCCTAATCCCCAATTATCAATCAAAGGCCGGGCCATCGGCTCCATCTGTCGGCTGCGACAGCTCGACTGGCAGCGTGCCTCCACCCCGCGTGGGCTGCCGCAGCTCACCGTGGCACCCCCTCCCCTCCCCTCCCGCCTCCATCCCGCGCGTGGGCTGCCGCAGCTCGCAGTGTTACCCCTCCCCTCACCCTATCCCCTGCCCCCTTGGGGACTATCTCCTGCCTACGACAGGTCGGAGCGCCAGAAAAGGCTCCCGGGCTATCACAGAAGCCACAGGTGATGGCCTTCTCCCGGGGCGAGTCTGTGTGTTCTTGGCTCTGTTGGGATACCCACGCACCGGGTAGCATTTATGAGATAACTCATTCGCTGTGTTGTTGGTAGTAATTGCATTGCTCAGATGTTTGTAATGTGGCGAGTTGTTACGGATGCAACACTTCAGTAAAGTTTCATCAGCCTTCCTGCACCTCGTTCTATTTTCAGATACCTAAGAAATTATGAGCTGTTTTTTACTGCCGGAGTGTACGCAGACTTTTAAGCAACTATAAAAAATAACAGGTACGGTGGTATTTTTGCAGTCTTCATCGGCTCCGATACAAAATATTAGTTCATTCTTCAAAATGCAAGCCGCGACCACGCCACAGTTATGTGCCAAGTATCTTCCGAATAATTTAAATGAAGTGTTACCTGAATACCTGACCAGGAAGTTCAATTGGCAAGTAGTTACAGCTATGTAGTTCCAGGTGCTCATACGCAATTAAAACTTAAAAGCTTTCCGTCCCGTTTTGCTTTGCCAAATTGACTTTTCACCACTGAAAAAAAAACTAAAAAGGATTTATAACAGGAGTGGTATGAGCGACACACAAAACCATGCTTCTTGCTGAGCATCACCTGTAGGCTGCAAGTACATACATAACATTACTAGAACATTGGCTGTACCATGACTCCGTTTTGGAGTTTGAACTTTGTTGAATGCCATCTGTGCCATCAAAGTTCTGGTGAATGTCGCTCAAATCCCGTTGAATCCATGAAGATTCTTGCTCAAATCCGTGCCGAATCCGTTCAGAATCCCGCCCGCACGCCGCCTCTGTGACATTCCCCTACCCCGTGACGCCGCAGGGCCACATCAGGCAGGGAGGGCTTGTCGCCGCTCCGTTTATGCAAATTGTGACGCGCGGGCGACAATCTGGTGCCCCGGGAGACGGTCGGCATATTGCAGGGACGCATGACGAACAGGCGCCGCCGGAAGGCGACATCACGGGAGATAGGATCACCGCGAGCTGCGAGAGCCACAACCAGGTGGGAGAGGGGATTTAAATTGTCTTCGTCCTATAACTTTCCATGGTAAAGTAATGGCTTAACTCTACTTCAAAACATCTTAATTTGTAATTAGACAATCATGGACGATGTGCTGTGCAGATCACATTAAGTCTTTCAATAACAATTTGTCAGTGAATTTAGGCTCTTTTAATGAGAAAGTAAAATTATTAAGTCGGTCGTTTCATTGTCACTTCCAGGCCATGTTTCAGTCAGCTCTATTGATCAGCTCATAGACTTTTGTCTATCCATGTGTCTGGTGCACAGAGGTTTATATTCCAGTGCAAAACCATAGTTTCACGGGCCTGTAATTTGCCACAGTACTCACTTCACAGGCATGTTGAAGCTGACCTCTGGAGTTAGGGTGTCGTTGGAGACAGGATTGTGGGCAAACATTTGCCACCAGCCACTGATACCCTACATGTCACCCTGTGTTCAACGAATCAATTTGATTGATTTCCTCGTGGTCGTTTAACATAATATGTGTTCCCATTTTGCTCCTTGAATGTCTGTGTTATCAGTTTTGAGGCAGTCTATGTCTGGGTCCCAATGAGATAAAATCTGTCTCTGGCAAGTGGCAATCACCAAGCGCATCCCATTTGATTGCAGATTTTGCGAAGTCAGTCAATGGAACAGCATACCTTGCTAAATTTTGTGAAAAAATGAATGCCTTCCGATTTTATGTCATCAGTTTCGTTCCGCATGAGTGCTAGTCTAGGTTTTCTGGAATGCTCAATCAGGCGAGCCTTATTCATTATTTCAGCTCGGATATAGTATGTAGTTTGACCGACCACGAACTGGCTACTGACCGCTATATAACGTCACAAAAGCCAAATAAGATTGGATCATACCCAATAAAAAAACGAAAAGGGAATTCTAGCCACCCAAACATCGTGCACCGCTCGTTCCATTACTGAGGAGGCTCTTTCTGACTCACAAATGCATACGTTTTTGGCTATCGCTTCCGTAAGTACGAGTATAGTTACATATGTACTGAGTGCTAATAGTGATCCCACCATATGTCGGTATGCTAACAGCACTTAGCCATGTATCAGACAACCATTGCCACATGCTCTCCGGCCATATTTGGAGCGTGGCCGAACGTAACTCCCTGTCTCTCTACTAGATCAAAATTAGGCGGTCCCTTGTTCCTGGCTTGGTAAATCCCTCACTACCAGCTTCCAGCTTTCTCGCTTCACTCCAACCTAACATCAATCCTCTTTGTTTGATATCCATCAGACAAAACAACAGCACAAGACGGGGAGAGATGTGCCGTGCAATATTCAAAGTCATTTCAGGACGCCGAGCTTCTGTTGAAAACAGAATTAGCGCATAAAGCAGGTGGGCTGCTGTCGACTACGAAGGAGTGCAAAGGCAGACGCGACATGTATCGATCGCAAGTCTACTACCGTCTCGCATCAAAACTGTGAAGTGAGAGACATGTCAGCCGGACAGGCAGAATAACCAGAGCAGAAAATGAAAACCTACTGAAAACTCTAAAGGCGGGCGCGTCGCACTTACAAAAAGGGATACGAAATCCATGTCCTCTTTGAGTGTGAGAATTACGTAAGACCATGATATTGCACAACAGGTGGGAACCCTAATCAGAGCATAATGCGTCACTTTCCTTAGCAGGAGAGCCACATGGAGAACAGTGGCGCCCCTGGCGCTATATCAGCTCACTTTACAGAGTGTTTCAGTCTGTGACGAACAAGGCCAGCCTTGTTGTCCAGACGGGGCACTTGACCCCGGCGATCGCAGCTCCCGTCCCGCAGTATACGTGGGCGAGATATCGGGGCGGGGCGGAACTCACTCCGAGTGCTCCACAATCCCTCGACCCGCACGCAATGTTCTGACATGAATTCCAGACACGCACCGGCACGTCACCGACACCAATACTGACACGCTGCCTGACACTGTATGAGTGTTGACAGGCCGTCAGACAAATGCAGGTCACGTGTCTGTGAGGCACGCGGGGTGGCTCACCGGCCGTCGCGAGGCAGGTCAGTTGAGACTGATGTGGCCCGGCACCAGCTACAACGGAAACATGAGCGATGAGACAGCTGGAGTCCAGCCACCGACATGCATTTCCACGGTACGTTTCTGGATGAACTGAACCACAGACGCCGTGATGATCGAGTGGTTACAAATAATGAGGAAGTCGACACAGACCCATAGCGTTTCCTTTTGTTCCGTTTCACGCTTCCTCTCTCCAGGAAGTGTGACCGCACCGATGTCCTCATTCTTTGCTGTCATCTACACCACCTGCTGGTGTCAGGTGACACGACCTGGAGGACGCTGGGACCGACATGACAGGGCGAGGGCGTGACAGCGATATCGAAAGGGCGTGGTCGAACCGAGAGGGCGCGACCAAATTATTTATTCAGAGATGTTTCGTGTGATTGAAAAGTACGACGATGGCTGGCAGCAGAGAATCGCCGCTTGGTATAAAATGGACCTCGCTGTCGGGCGTGTTTCGAATAGATGTACCAATACATCGAGCTGAATGGGAGCCGAGATAAGGTATTATAATATTAACAATTATTTATTTGGAAACTCTAGTCTATAAGCAAATTAGTAGGCGTTTCTAGATGAGAGGAGCACGTCAGAGGTCAGAGCTTTCGAAATAAAAGAATGCTTTGTGCAATGTGATAGGCCATGTGCGTGAGCAAGCACTCAAAGGCTGTGATACATACCTAAAAATATGGTGAATTATATAGGCCTACCGCCTAACTAGAACAATTGGCGCCTAACTAGCATTATGCTCGATCTTTGGTTGGTGTGAATTCTCCAGGAACCACTGATAACGACATTCTGATTACAGCCCTTACGTAAGCTGTTTCCATTGGCAGACTGCGGCAGACTGCATCATGTAGGCCGATTCATACGAAATCACAATCGTTGGACTCTAAGCATCATTCCCCGTAAATCTTCTTTCTTTTTCGATTAATTGTTATAAGGGAGGTTTCGCATAGATCTCAGGCAGCTTTTGCCAAATTGTCAGGGAACTCAGATTGTTTTTCAATAGAAAAACACAATTCTAAAGAATAGTGTTTTAACTATTGACAACAAACCTTCGGTTACATAGGTTACATATCTAATACAAAGTACAAACCAACTCTTTCATCCA